TTAAATGAGGGAGAGGAGTAGGTGAGACAAAACGATTTTTGTTAACAAAGAAAGTAAAATTTAAAAATACTTATTGAGTCTATCTGAAACTGAACTTTGACTCTTTAGTACTGTAAGCAGATCAGGACAGAAACTGAAAATGAAATGAAATGACACTCATCTGCTCTTCAAAGGGTACCCTTCCTCCACATTCCCCTATTTCTGTTGAGACCACTATCATCCTTCCAGGCCCTCAGGTCAGTGACTGTAGAGCCCTCTTTGGTACCTCCCCTCCCCCTCAGTCCTTATCTACTCACAGCAGCAAACCCCAATTCAGGCCATTCTCTCTCATCTAGACCACAGCGACAGCCTTCTCATGGGCATTTCCCTTTTCTCATTCATCCTTTGAAACTGTTGCCAAAATAATCTTCCTAAGGTACAGCCCCAGCCAAGTCATCCCCCTGTTTAAGAATCTTCAGTGGATTCCCACTGCCCCAGGATCAAATAAAAACCTTTTTATCCTAGAAGCAAAGCCCTTCAGTCCAGCATTTTCCACATTTGTTTCACATGCTGGTGTTCCTCAGGCTTCTCATTCAGTTGCCAGTCTCCATGAATTTGCACAGGTTATCCAGAATACCTGGAGAGGCTTCTCCTCATCACCTCCATCTCTGCCTTTTAGAACCCTTAGCTTCTTTCAAGGATGTGCTCAGGGGCCACTCTTCTGGGAATCATTTCTAGATCCCTCAGTGGCATGGAAAATCCTTAAGGGTAGGACCGTCTTCACTTTTGTCTCTGTATCTACAGTGCCTTGCACAAAGTAGGTGCTAAAAAGGTTAACTAAATGAATTTCTGAAGTTTGAATGCTATTTCTGCACCCCTGGTCCCAATGGTAGCCCTTTTGGTAAGTTTCCAGAAGATTCTACTTTATTGAAAATTAGGCAGATAGTGTGTTGTTTTTTCACTTATTGCTTTTCCTTTGTTTTTGAAGAGGACACATGACGTCACGGGGTGATATTTCAGCTTGCGTGTGAATTGGACGTAGGTGATGCAGAGTTGCATAAAGTCGTCAGCTTCACTCTCTCTTCCAGAGTCATTGAGATACAGTCCAGATGACCAGTGATAGGACGCAGGGGATGACCTTGGCATCTTCAGTGTCTGACCAAGCTCTAAGCGCTCCTTACTGTCTCCTTCAGCCACCTTTGTGGCCATCGGAGCGAATTGTGCTCATCTGCCCATTCCACCAGGGGTATGTGTGGAGTAGACATCTCCTTAACTCACAGATGGGTCTGAGGCCTGCTGGTTACCCACAACCTGGTTTAGCTCATCCGCCAAAAGGGTTTTACCAGGGTATGGCTGCTGCTCATGCTACAGCTTCTCAGAGAGCTTTTCCCTAAAAGCCTATTGATACAGAAAATCCTGCTCTCTGTAGTATTTCTTTATCACCAAGTTAAGCCAATTAGCATTTTTAAAGTGCCTACTACAGGCCAGCCTCTGTTCTAAGCACAACAGACACCAAGAGAGGCCCACAGTCCCTGCTCTCAAGGAGATCTTATCCATTGGGAGGAGCCAACACACAGACTGCTATGTACAAACCAGATAAATACAGAATAAATCGAAGATGACATTAGAAGGAAGGAGCTAGCTTTAGGAGGACTGGCAAAGCCTTCTTGTGGAAGATGGCATTGGAACTGAGATTTAAAAGGAGCCTAGGAAGCAGAGGAAGGGGGAGAAGGAGGGGGAGAAAGATGGAGAGGAAGAGGGAGAGGGAGAGAGACAGACAGAGAGGAGAGACGGACAGACACACAGAGAGAGA